ATGCTCCATTCGCCAAACGTGACAGCACCTTTTACAGTCCGCAATCTTTTAAATTTACCAGAATACAATCCGGTAAGTTACAAAGAAGCTGGTCCAGTCGAATGCTTGACACACATGACTTCGGTCCACGTTATGCCAAACAAGAATGAGGAAAATGCAAACAACGGGCTGCCATTACACGAAAATCATCATCCGAACTTCATATATCCAGAAACGCCGAGATCGATGTACCTAAAGAGCGACGTAAACCACCATGCGAATCTAAGCGGATCGCACGCTCATATTCTCGAGCCCCCGTGCCCTCCAGGTAAGCATTTAAGTCTTGTGTATTTTAGATTTTAGAAATCATATTTGATTTTCCCATTTCGAAGCCTGTCCGTAATTATAATCAAATCTTGGAACACAAAGTAGGGGGAGGGAAATTGTTTCAAGTGTCTTAAAAGAGCAACACCATTGAAAGGTTAAGACATTTCTTGGATCCGTTATGATTTTTCGCGAGAAGCCGATTTATATCCGACTATTTGACCGTTCGCGCCTAAATTTCATGAGCGATATTAACGATTCGGCCGTCAACGAAATTCACGCAAAATCACTGAAGAAGAAAGCGTTCGACAACTCACGTCATTCACTTATGCGAAAATATTTACCATTTGAAATCTTCTGGGCGTGGAAGTCTTTCACTACGTTAATTACCACAGTAACCCCTCAGGCTAAATGCTTTATAGTGATGGTGTTGTTGATAGTTTTCGTTTTGTCTTGACAAACGATTTTTTTCCTGTACGCTTACAGTGTCAATGGAATCACAGTTAAACAACAAGTCAGAAAGCCAAGAGATCACTCAAGAGCTTCAGCATACACAACACACTTCGCCTAACGCCAACGAGATGCATCATCAAGTCACAAATCCCAGCTTAGCCACAACCGAAGTGCCCAACAAACAGAAACGTATACGACGGAAACCACGAGTCCTGTTCTCTCAAGCGCAAGTCTACGAGCTAGAAAGGCGATTCAAGCAACAAAAGTATCTATCGGCACCCGAGAGAGATCACCTTGCAAGCATGTTAAAACTTACATCCAACCAAGTAAAGATCTGGTTCCAGAATAAACGCTACAAATGCAAGAAGCAAGCGCTTGAAAACAAAGCGCGGACGGCCGGTATGGAATCTTGGTATGGCCTGCCGCCAGAACCTCGTAGAGTAGCCGTGCCTGTTCTCGTACGAGATGGCGAACCGTGCTTGGGAAGGGAACCTTATGGTTTAAATATGAACATGAATATGAACATGAACTTCGCCCCGCATTACATGAACATGTACCCACCACCGCAGAACAACCATTTAGCAAACAGAACATGGTAACTGTAAAGTGTAACTTCGCGATAATCTAAGAAACAAGCATTTCCTATGACATTGCAAAGCAGGACAAGAATGAACAACTCTTATCAATGACACTAAACAGAGACGCGAGATATTTAAAATTTTCTGGTGAAAGTAGAGGAAAGATACGAGTTACATTAGCCAGAAAATATTCTAGAAAGCAAAGAAAACAATAATATTTAGACGATATTTTTAAGAAAAAATGCCGGCTACCTTTATCGTGTAAATTAAGAAAAGGTAAGAAATGTTAATAATTATTGATAAGTAAGAGTTAAACACTGTACCAAAAGCATACATCCAATCGCTCCATGTACACATTTTGTAAATTTCGTTATTGTAAGCCTGTTGTGTGAGGCGCTAAGTTTGCCACCTTGCACTGATAAATTTCACACGGAAAGAGGGTGTAATATTTCAACAGAGATATATTTCCCACAGACGAAGTCAAAGCATAAATTTATAAATAGGAAAAATAGACGAATTAAGATATGTTGGGCGTCATAAGCAAAATACACGTGCGACACTGGCAAATTTAATATCGGATGAACACGAACATAATATAGATCTGAAGTTGACATCATTTCACAATATTGAACATTCGTTTAAGAAAGAATTAATTCAAGAAAACTTGAAATACCACAGAAAAGTAACTATCAACAAGATATTTTCTTCTTCTTTTCCTTTTTTTTTGAAAGATAGCAGTTCTAACTTCGTGCCTTCTCATATCTATTTTTCATAAGTGAGGACCAGCTTTGGAATTAGGCTGTCAAAACCTATGTGTGAATTTTGGCGATATCTTGATGATGAGTCCAAGATAAGCAATCAAGTAACTGAGAACTTGTCACAGCGTAACTCGTGCGTGCATGGTTTTAATGTTCACCTCGAGATACAAGAATAATTAACGATAAAAGCAGACAGAAGTTGCTTTGAACAGGAACACCGCGAGTATAAAGATAGCTTTTAAAGTAATTACATTCACTAGAAGTTAATTGGCGATTTATGGTACACACATTGTGAAAAGAAGCCAAGACCAACAAGAGATTCAAAACACAAGGCTATTATATTATGTCCATTAAGATATATATGTTCCGTGTCTCAAATATGAAGATGAAGCCAGTGTTTTTAAATCTGCTGGCTTATGTCAGCTGTTACAAAAAAAAACGGGTCATCCTTTCGTACTATTGACGCAAATATTTTTATTTTTGGTTTATTTCAACTAGTTCTTTTTAAACGAATAAAATTTTAAACCGAAAGGACCACTGTTACGGGCTCTTGGACGTCTTTTAATTTTGCATGGGTTAAATGGATTGCTCTCCTTCATGTAAAATTTTTATTTGTCAAGTATGCCAGCAACTAAAGGAGGATATTCCAAAAGAAAGCCGAAATTATAACAAGCAATATTCCATTAGTTAAAACATACATTTCAAAAACATACCAGCCGGTAATTAAGTCAATTCTAACTAGTTGCAGTAAAAAGAAATAACGGGCTATTTATTTACAACAAAAATGTAAATTTTGTGATTAATTTTCACATTTCCCTCATAGAAATCTAGTTAATTTTGGTTCCGCAATCGATCCTGTTTAAATATCACAAAGAAGAAGGGAAAGTAATGTAACACCAGATGAATTGTCGGGGAACAACTTTGTGGCAAAAAAAGATTGTCAACATAAACTGACAATATACGGTGAGAAAAAATTAACTCGAGACAAAAGAAAAAAGTTTTTGTCATTGAAGTGAATGAACCGGTTTTTAATTTCTCCGAAAATTTCCCAAGTGTGAACAAACAGGTCAAAAAAAGACATTAGGCTAAAAACTCAATATGAACTCCGTGGACCACAGTAATCGCATTAGTTAACAGAAGTTGATGGCTGTCATGAGCTTCGCGTTAATGATGTCGATTTCACATCCTTGAAAGCAATCCACACTCAAGTAAAAAACCTTTTAAATGCCTAAATATTGTCATTTCAATTGCCTGTGTTCTTTTGAAAGCACTTCCTTCACTTTAAGTTTCCGTTGAGAGGTAAAACGAGATCGGAATAAAAATCTGCTCTGGCGAGCCTTTGTATGGAAATGTCTTAAAGTGCATGTAAACGTTGTCAACAAAGGATTCGCAGCAGATGGCGCGTTCCCTATTGTTCGGCCGTCAATCACTGCAATCATTAAGCGACATTACCTGACAATAGTAAAATAATAAACGAATTAACACGTATGCAGAATCGGCACAATGATTGGCATGAGGTGAGAAGTCATTATCGACTAAATAGCCCTCCACAAGCAGACTCACAAAACAAAACTGTCAGTGCCACCCATCTAGACCTTACCCAAGCAAGCTGTCAGTCATGTGCTCTTTGCCTTTGGTCACTTTTCGAGCTTTAACAGGTTATAATGTTGGATAAAAGTGAGAATACAGGCGTTCACTTAAGAGAAAAATACCCACACTATTGCCCTGAACGGTTGTACAATTTTTTTTAATCACATCTCGTGAAACGAACACCAAAATAGATTAACCTCCTCGGACTTCCACCCTGTTATCTCTGTAAACAAGGAATGTTTTGAAAAGCTCGCTGTAATTTGCACCCACTCTTCATGATTCTATCACATCTTGATGCTTCCTTCGCTCGGAAGACCCCGATCCTTGCGTAATTGAGAGGCCGTGTGTTCTTAATTGCATTGTGTCAACGCTCTTTAACAGAATGTCAACAAACTACGTAAATGAAGCAAGTAGCCAATAAGAATGCCTGATTAGCTTGATTTTCTCATCAACAGCCTCTAGGTGATACGTGGACATCGACCAATCGTCGATTAATGTTCAATTTTGATTTCTTATCGCTGAATAATGATATTGTGAAAAATTCCTGTAGGTCTCCAAGTACTGTTTTTAGGGTTCACATCTACGGGTGGTATCCTATTTCTGTTTCGGTCATCAGCGTGAGTCCTGAACGCCAACATCGCAATCATCTCTTCTCAACGTTGTTGCGTGTCCAATTTTAAACTAAGGAATATGAACGAAGCAATCAGAAATCCTGTTACACCGTTCTCGATCACCGATATTTTGAATCGTAATGATGTCCCACAGCAGAATAACAGCAGCCTTCCTTCTTGGAGTCAGCACCCTGCCCACACTCATCCCGTGTCGCCGACATATTTGCCATTACCGTACTTTCAAAGCGCTTTACCCATCCATCAGCTGAGCTGCTACAAAACATTCACTGCCTCGCAAGTTCCTACAGCATTGCCCTCACTTAGTAGAGAACGAAAACCTGAAGAAATCGCAGAGCGAGCAGAAGAAATAGCGAAAGTTCACAGTAAGTCACACAGTTACCGTTCACAATTTAAAATTCACTTTTACAGACCGAGTTAATTTGTGTCAATTAAACTATTCTCAATTAAGCAATTGCACATGTTCTGATTTACAGCTTTTTGTTTCTTCATTACAGAAAACCAAGAAAGAGATGTCAACCACACCTCGACTTCCAACCCTCAACAACAGGCCAAACCGCGAAAGAAGCGATCAAGAGCGGCCTTCTCTCACGCTCAAGTATTCGAGTTAGAAAGACGGTTCAGCCATCAAAAATATTTGTCTGGACCTGAGAGAGCAGAGCTTGCTGCTGCTTTAAAACTGACTGAGACACAGGTTAAAATCTGGTTTCAGAACAGGAGATACAAAACAAAACGACGTCAGCTCGCATCAGAAATTTGCCCTCCGAGTGCGGCGAAGAAAGTCGCGGTACGAGTTTTGGTTCGGGATGATCACAAACAGTATGAAGACATAGGATTATCGGGTCTATCAATGGCGCCATTTGGCAGTCAAACCTTCGCTCCCCCTTGTGGTTTTTACTACAGATGAATTCAAGATTACTAAATCAAGTCCCAAATGCAACAACAAACAGACCCTTCAAACCAAACCCTGCGAACACGAAGACAGTGACACTCAAAGAGTACCATTCAAACAATTTAATCGCTGCCGTCCTCGATGGCTCAATCCCGAAACAATTCTGCTTTAACACCAAATAGCGGCAAAAAGGTAAAAAGATTAGCGGAGGATAACGTTTTAACTCCTAGCTACGGAAGTAAATCACTTGCGTCCGGTGAATTACATGGAGTGGTCTACTCTCTCAAAGTTTACTCACATCATCGAAATTAGATTGCGCGAGTGTTAGGCTCTTAATTACCTTTAATCCAAGATTAAGATTAACGAGAGTGTATGATAGTGTTCAGATTGAGTGGGGGACTGAAAAAAATTCCCAAAAGAAACAATTATAGGCCTTAAGTTGAAGCAACGGTTATTGGTAGACATCGAAAGGGAATAGGGACATGAACTATATTTCAATTTTGTACCGACAATAGCACTAAACTCAACCGCGTACCAAAGTACGCTAATTTGATTTCTATAGCATCACTGTAGCTAAAAACCATCTAAGTAATATTTTCCCAAACTTTTTTAACATCACAAATAGCGAAAAAATTCACCGAATTAGGTCGGAGAGCGCATAAGAAAGACATGGTCGCCAGTGATAAACAAATACACATCCTTGAAAGAAGAGTGAGCCGATTTTTATTTCATTGATTCCTACGCGTAGAAATGTTAAGTCGCGACGAGCTGAAATACAGTCACAAGTAATTCGGGAGAGAGCCGCAACTTTATGCAGCACAAATAGAAAGTATAAAAAGGCCCGGGTGACATGTTTGTCCACATCTCTTTTGAATTACTTCAGCTTTAATTGATGCCTGGAGTTTCACATCCGAGAGCGCTTTGTTAACTCTAGATGGTGCGCAAGAATTTAACGGTCGAAATCATTGCATTTTTTCGATTGAGTCATTTACCGAGAGTGAGATAGAGCGATAGATAAGTATCACAGCGACACCCGAAATACAATTACAGTCGACTGAATTTGATTACAGTGCATCGTTCATCAACTACAAAGATACTCATTAGTGCTCATTACAAGGGCTTTTATTCTGGGGCTTAATGTGATTGTAAAACACTTCTTTAATACTCATTTAGGTGCCCCTCCCACGACACCATTTGAACGACAAGATGATTCGTTTATGCCACGCTTAATGGATCTCGTTTAACATGTCATTCTCACGGATAGGATTCCCTTCACTTCCAAACTCAAGCAAAAAGCTTGAGGAAATTTAAAGAGACACTTCAGGGCAGTTAGATGGCCGACGGAAGTGTGAAACCGAAGACAAAGCCATCTGTTAAATCCATTACCAACATACGAGTCTAAATGCGTTGGTCTAGGTACTTGAATAAACTTTAATGGAAGTTAAATTTTCATGAATAGCTAAAGCCCGTTTTAGTTTCTTCAATGTTAGCATTTCTTTTCTCGGATGCCATGGTTTCCTGTTTGCTAAAGTCGCACTAAGAATGGCACATCGTTTGAAGGTGTTAATGGCCATTTATATTATCATCGCATCGCTTTGTGTGGAGTGTTCTATTTAGAGATGTGTGTTTAATATGAGAAAATCAATTCCCAGTAATAACAGGCTTTACTTTTGTAATCGTTTTCATCAAATGGTAGGCGACTGGAAGGCTTAACTTTCATAGACCATCACTTGAGTTTATTGTAAGCTTACTTTGCTCCCAAGATGCGGGGGATTTGAGACCCTTCATTTTCGCACGCGACAGATCCTGATCCTCGATCAGTTCCCTCTGTCATAACAAACTAAATTCGTCTAAAGCCACAAAATAAAATGGCTTCTCCGGTTTCAGCTCCCAAGAGATAATGTACTGTCAAGGAGTAAAAACATAAAAGAAAACATTTCGAGCAAACAAAAACATTTTAGCTTAAAAAAAATATGTCGGGTTATCAGTGAAAGTACTAGGCGGTGGCATAACCTGAGCGCTCTTGGCGTTATAAGATTATTTCATGGCTTCCAACTACTCATCTTATACTTCATCTCAATAACTACAGCGTGCGACCCACTTAAGAGGATGAAAGAAACTTATAATTCAATTTGGTTGCACAAGTTTAATACACCTCTTTAAGCCGAAAAAAATGTATGTTTATCTCTGATCTTAACAGTAATGTAAAGCTAACAGCCGGTTGCAATCCTCGTCATTTACTGCTATTGAAATATCGTACTTCATTTTTTCCTTCTCAAACACAAAACAAATTGAAAGCGAGGAGATGATTACATTATGCTTTTATGCTTTTGTGCTGTAACTCACTCTTTCTCCGGATGGTAGAGAGGCACGTGGTATTAAAACGGAACATACTAATGTCATCATTGACAGCCTGCGGTAGAAAAAACTAAATGAGGAATTACAGCTAAATTTCCATGCGGTTCATTTCAAAAAGGCGAAATGTGAAAAGAACCACCAGTAAAATACTGTGATTAATCTTGATGAGAAAGCTAAAATATAACAAGAGGACAGCCTCTACCAAACCTCCAATTTGTGTACTCACTAAAAGACTCTCATGCAAGTATAGAACAACCAAACAAAAACAAAAGCTCGCACTAAGTGCCAGCTAGACAAAGCCCCTTTTCTAAATGGAACAACTGAACAGACAACAACCTAGAATGAGCATTTACTCGCTCAATAGAGGCCATTAACGACCACCACTAATTGTGCAAAGGTGTGAGAATGGCGGGTTTTGTTTATTACACCTTTAACTACCGAATTTACTTTCAAGAAGTATTGCTTGAAATTAAATGAAGCGGAGATCGCATTAAACCGCTTTTCAGTTCTGTTCAAATGCGTCTCGTTACAATTCTTCCGTCAAAGGAAATCGCGTAAACCGTGATTGCGGCATATTGGGTTTCCTTGGCGTTCGCGACGCTTTTTTTTTTCTTTTTTTAACTTTTCAAGAGAGAATCGTAGAGCGAGAGAAATAAATAAAAATATTCGTAATGAGTCTTATGGGTACACAAGGCGCCTTACCGGCTGTGAGTAGTTTATCAACCAAATGTACATCTTAACAGATAATGATGTCAGGCAAAAATACAGAGCTATCCTTTTTATTACTTCATTGAAACGGAATGCTTGTTCAACGCTTATGTCCTTGTCTTTTCACGCAATTTCGATAAAATAGCACAGGTACATATCAAAGAAAATACAGGCAAGCATCGACACAAATCGGCAGCCCAGAGAAAGTACTAACAAAAGACTAGCTGATAACCTAAACACCCTCCCACTGCTTGTATACAAAGTACTTTTACGCCGTTTCTGCTTCTGGTGGTCCATTGTTTATAGAAGTTTTAAGTTAAAACTGTGATGCTTTTCTTTGAGTTTTATTTCAATTTCTTTCGCAACACGCTTAATTCCTTTGCGAAAAGCTAGAACTACAAGATTCCCATATCAATTGGCCTAAACAACATGAAATAATTTAATAATCTTTCCAATCTGAAAGTTTCAGTTTGTAGCACTTTCACGTTCACGTTCGTTCGTTCTACTTCTATTGGATGAAAGAAACAAAATGTTGCATGGAAATGAGCGACGACAGTTCATCCTAAGCTAGGCAAAGTAAAGAGAATGCCACCAGGATCCGAAAATCCCAAATCCGTTATTCATAGAGAGATAAATTTCTTCAAGTGAAAATGAAAACTACATCGATTATTCAGATGTGGTGTTATCAACCCACAGAGATAAAACCAGTCGGATTCGTCAAACAGGCAGTTGTATTACTCTTCGATATGTGCCACAAATACTAACTTACAATTACAATCATGTGTAAATAAATTACAGACCTTTTAGCAAAGTGTGGAGCATAAAGAATACAGGGAAGACCTGAAGTTTTTTTTGGTTTCTTTACTTTCAACCTATTATCTCTTGAATCTTGGTGGAATAATGTTACTCAAAGCAAAGGAAATCATTCTTCTACTCAGCGGCGAGGAGGGAGCTAGGTTTTCTCGAGTTATTACTACCGTAAAAAAAAAACAAAAAACAACTGTTGTTAAGTTTGAAGTGAATAAATTGGTGAATAGTGTCATTCCACATGGGAATATTGAGATGAGACCGCATAAAACTGTTTCCCTCAAAGTGATAAATAGAAGTTACAAATGAGCTCTAACGGAAATACAGTTATCACCGAGAATATCATAATATAACATAATTCGAAAATCATCAGTAAAAACATTAGTGCATAAATCAAACAGAAACCCACAAATAGAAGAGACAACGACAAAATTTCAAAAGCATTTTGCAACTGATATATTACGTTTGACCTGGTGTTTTCATCAAGAGAGTTCTTTTTTTTTCAGCAAAACAAGTTACAAATGGAAATATCATTACGGCAGTTCCGAACTACTTTGCTGATAGAGGCCGCTTCTTTTATGGAAAATACTTTTTTAATTGTCCTAAAATCTAAAAGCACTTGATATAAATTGATTCATTGTAAATTACGCTGCAATTTCGTATTTATTAATGCAAAACAGACATAATGTCGATCCTTATATATTTATAAGGCGATCGAATCGGTGATGTTTTCACAATAATGCACACAAAAAAATATAAAGGAAGAGTATAATTCGTAACATTAACTCGTCTGAGCGTTTCACACATAAAGTTTTGCACCATAACTATCTAGCAATTAACTTGAAGACCTTTTAAATACGAAATTTAACTAGTCTACGTAACATGACACCAGGGGAAAATTCAACTAAGATTCTTCTGACATTTGAATAGTTCTGTTCTTGTCAGTCAGTAGGTTGCTTTAGCTTATTCACTCGCCAATGACGAAAGTGTTAAAAAAAAAAAGATAGAGAGAGAGAGAGAGAGAGGGAGAAAAGGGGAAAACACGCATACAAAATTGGCAATAACCCGGTTTTTTAACCTTGTCGTGTATATGAATACTGCTTGAGTTAATAAGGCTTTTTGGACGATTTTTTGTTTTTGTTTGGTCTCTACAGGAACTATGCATGTCCTGTGCACGCAGTTAAGGTAAAGAAAACGGATACGTATTATTTAAGTCCACATTAACCTATGATCCTATAAACAGTACTGGGAACATACTCCGAGTGATTGTGCACTCTTCGTAAACACGAAGAATCGGCTTCTACGATAAAAGAAAACAACGAAGCACATCAAGATGAAAATAACTCAACAACTAGGACGCTGTTTCCTAACTAAAAAAATCCTCCGATAGTTTTTCAACACCCCACCTAAATCTAAAAAATAAGTCACACAGGCCCTTTGTATGAAATTTCTGGAGTGTATTTTAAAAGCGCGCATCTGAAGTTGACTGACCTTTGTTCGCCAACACAGTTCCCAGCATCAAAGAAACTTGCAGAATGTTATGCCTCGTGCGACTTGCGCCTTACGCTACCACCAACAGAGAAGATAAACTGCCTAAACACTAAACGAAACTACCCATCTCAAGCCTACTAAGCCCGATCCAGATAATTTGGACAAGCGTATGAACACTAACAATACAGTGCAAAGTATTTGAACGTTTTACTCCGTAGACATCTTTAAAGAGATTGTGAGTGTGAAAGATAACCTAAAAAAAAATAGAAGTAGCGCAATACTTCACACTTACTTTAGACGATTATTTACACTTACTTATATTTTAAAGCAACGAAGAGCTCCTTTTCTTCTGTACAAACAAATCATACACGGCATCGCACTTTAAAAGTGCTCAAACGTTCATTTAAGGGTTCGTTGTTCGAATATTGAAGTGACAGATTCTCAAATGACATCAAAGTAGAGAATTCCTCTTGCCACTATTTAGCCGAGCAATTTGCACTTGAACTACCTAACCTACTAAAAGAGGAAGAAATAACACAAGCAAAATTGAAAGTACCATAGGTGCTGATGGACTTATCACCGCATCAATTAAAGTCGCCTCCTGAGATTACCGCCTTGGAACCTTTTGACCTGACAAACATGAGTGATTTCAGGCAAAATAGAGTGAAAGAACGAACTCCATGACAGCTCAAGTAAGAAAAAGATTTATCTGCACTGCAAAGCACATTGGATACCGAAACACAACATCTTAAATAATTTCACTCTAACTTTAGTTTTCACTCAGTAACGCATCCAGCTTCAACCACGTTTTGGTCACGCTAGCACGTTATGTAGTTTTGATTGCTCTGTGATTAGCATTTTTAGCACAGCAAGTAAGCCGTAAACCAAAAGAGACGTCAGCAAAAGCCAAACAAGTTAAAACAAAATCAAAATCATCAGAATCAAAAAGGAAGTTTGTGTGGTACATAAAAGCATTTATATTCCTCATAATAGCGCACATTCAATTCTGCCCAAGCTTTGCAACTTAATCACGCTATAAGCGTGGCGATAAGCGAAGACCGATGGCCACTTTTATAATTTCACTAGAAAATAACGATCTGTGGTTACAATAATCAATTGAGCTTCCTTACTTAGATAAACATAAATGATGGCTATCAAAAGGAAAGAAAACTGAGTAGGAAAGACCAGGTCACAGGTGTCCGTATAGTTAAGAGATACTGGAGTTCTTTCGACATATCCAAAATATCTACATAAAAAATTGGAAATTTACGTTAACCATCTACGATGAAAATTACATGT